ATAAAATCCACTCTTTCAACCTTTAATAAGAAATGTTCTTTTCCCCAATCAACCCATCAGCTCTTCCCTGCAGCTGTTGGAGAACTACATGCTCCATTTCCAGAGAATTTCATTTTGGTGATTAACTAATACTTGCCAGGTTTTTTTATTCCCTGCTGTTTCTAGACAGAAGATTTACAACACCAAAACATTCATTAGTTTGTTAGCAGAAGCGCCTTCCACTTTCACACCACTCATCAGTTAATAGGAGTCAGTCATTTATTTCCTCATATACGACACCATAACCTTTCTTTTGCAACAATATCACTAAATTTTGTGCCACATACGTCTTTCAGAAATAAAAATATTGTTGACGTTTCTCTTTTCTTTCCAAGAAATCCCATTACCAACCACCTTCCAGACTAATAATCTCCATTTCTGATTCGCGACAAATCTCCATCTTCTCCAGTTTAACCAGTAGTGTTCTATAGATGCCAAGTGTTTCAGAACCCATTGACCAGATTAGGCCTACTCTGTTGTTTTAGAGTAGCTATGTTCTTATGTTGGGGGAAATCAAAATATTTATTATCTACTGCTATTTTGTCTCTTTTCTTTTTTTTTTTTTTGTTTTATGAATTTTGTCGCATGTCTTCCATTCCTTTCTAGGTCAGTAGCAGATCTTCTCTTCAAGATTTGTTATATCTTTGCCACTAATTTTACTTCAATGGTTCCAGAGCAGTCTGAATCGCCTTCTAACTCCTCCAAAAATACCTTTTTTTTTTTTTTTTTTGGGGGGGGGGGGAACAACCCATCTATTTAGTTTAAAAACATACCGGAGTAAAGAAAATTAAAACTTCCACTTCTCATTTTGACTTCTTGGCTTCCTTTTGCTCCATGACTTTCGGCACAAAGCTTTCTTTGCTGATCCGAATGTCTGCATATCCGTGGACCTTTTGATCAACTGCAATAGTTTTGGAAGACAGCTATGTAACTAGCAACACTTGGAGCTCTTTCCCACATGACTTTTCTTCTTGTTTGACTCTGAAATACTAGAGAGTTTTCACAGCTTTGTCTTTTCAATTCTTTGAATTTGGCTTTGTCTTTGAATTTCCAACTCTGCTCTACACGACAAGTTTATCAGCTCTTCATTTCAATTGGCTTAAGTAGATGCCTCCTTTCATCAACACGTACTTGCTGATGAACTTCTGTTTACTTTAATGAAAACAGAACAGCTTGCCCCATACAGGCTAAAAAGGTTTCTGTCCTAATCCATATACACAGGTCTTCCAAACCTTAGCCAGCAACCCTCACAAACAAATGTCACAAAGGAATTCTGCCATTTATGTGCTCATCTCCAGAAGCAAAAGGTTGCTCCTCCACTACAGCCTAGTTGCAAACCAAAGGAGTTCCCTGCCTTCCTGGGCCTATAAATCATAGAATCATCAGAGAATGGTTTAAGTTGGAACTGACTTTAAAGATCATCCAGTTCCAACCCCCCTGCCATGGGCAGGGACACCTCCCACCAGACCAGGTTGCTCCCAGCGCCGTCCAACATGGCCTTGAACACCTCCAGGGATGGGGCAGCCACAGCTTCTCTGGGCAACCTGCCCCAGGGGCTCACTGCCCTCACAGTCAAGAATTTCTTCCCAATATCTCATCTAATATCTGTTCTAAATCTGCCGCCTTCTAGTTTGAAGCCATTCCCCCTCATCCTATCACTACATGCCCTTGTCAAAAGTCACTGTCCATCTTTCTTGTAGGTGCCCTTCAGATACTGGAAAGCTGCTAAGCTCAAAAGCTTTGCGACATCCGTGCATCCAGCACTGCCAATGCGTTCAGGAGTTCTATTGAAGTTCTGGATCA